TATTTTCGAACTTAACTTTTTTCTAGATAAAAGGTAGGGGGTGGAAGAAAAGTTGTATATTAAACCCCATTTTAAATTCTCCCCTCCCCCCCGCCACTCTGTGCATCTGATGAAGAGAGCTGTGAGCTCACAAAAGCTGATGCCTTTTAATAAAATTTGTGAGTCGGAAAAGCTGTTACCAGACCCCTCCTAATAAAAATTGCTAGTATTACAAAAGTGCTTGGCCCCCATCTTTGTCACACACATTCTTTGTCACACACATAGTCCCCCACCCCCCACCCCACAGGGCACACCCCATGCTTTCTCCTTCCAGAAAAAAAGAAGAGGAAGATGGGGGAATTGTCCTAAAAAATGAAGGACAAGGAAAGGGGGAACAAAAATTGGAGGGAGAGATCAGGGCAGGGAAAGAAAGGGAAGAGAGGGGAGTTCTTCAGCTATTCCAGAAAGGGTTAAATTCACCAGGCAAACAGCATTTTGACTGATCCTCAGTCTTCAAAAGCCTTGATGCATCAGCAGGAATGTCTACAACCATGTCCACCTTGTACTAATTCCTTGTTTTCAAACTAGTCTTCCTATAGGTAACACAGTATGTTTATTTTTATAACATTTGAATTTTAAAACGGCATCACAAACTTTGGACATGTGCACATTTTCATATACCTGGGCCTTTATTTGCATATGGGTTCAAAATAATAAAATCAGGAAACTTTTTGCAGCTGAGTCATTATAAGTCCTAAGGCTTGTGCACTGGTAGTCAGGAAACCAAGAGAAAGCCCAGTCAGGTCTTGCAAGGAAAATGCAAGTAATGGTCTAAGACAGAATTCAGGAACATAACTGGACAAAGCAGGGAAGGAACAAGGTAAAAAACAAATAGTTCAATGATCAAATCAAAGTGCAGAAAGATGCAGCAAATCAAGGTAGGAAGCAATGTAGGAAGAGATAAGAGATGGGTCCCAGAACGGAAGGAACATAACGGAAGTTTTATGAATTAAAGCTACTGGGAATAGTCCAACCTCAACTGCCAACATTCAAGTCCACAAGATTGTTATTCACATGGAACATGGAATCCTGGAAGTCCTAGGAGTTACAACTCAATTAAGAGGAGCCTTAGTTTTTTCATCTGACAGTTGCAGGAATTTCCACCATGCAGAAACAGTACTTTCCACAGGGTATCCTTGTTTCCAGATTTAGGGTCTAAAGCTAGTTAAGAGCCATGACTTGCTAATGTTGATTCATCTAGAGGAGATATGCCTACTGGCTGCCCTGTTTCAATTCTCATAGTGTCCTGAAATCCCATTATCTTGCCCCATTACAAAACATACCATCCAATATCAAACATATTCACTTAGAAATATTAAGGTTACCATCTTAAATGTATTTAGAAAATAAATGGGACTGATTTCTTTATGAACACAAGAAGGCAACATGTTAGATAATACCGTTAAGGGCCTAAAACAAAGGCTTCCCAAAGCTTCCGTCCTCCATATACATACTGTATATTTATATTTCTTTTATCATTCATATTTCCAAAGCCGCCCAAATTCTCAATGATTCTGGGTGGCATATGCGTTTAAAACCAAAGAAACAGAAAGACACCAGGCCACAAACAAGGTAGATGGTCATCCAGGTGGAAGAGGCACAAAACCCCTCAGATAGGGAGCCCCCATCTGCATCCCAAAGCCAGGGGCAAGAGCTAGGTCTTCAAGGCTCATCTAAAGGGGAGCAGAGTTGGGACTGTTCCAAAGGGAAGGCTGCTTCCTGGGTCCCATCACATGACATTGTTTAAGGGGTGAGACCTGAAACATGCCAACATAGGATGGACAGAAGCAATGGGACAGAGGGATGGTCCCTCAAATAGCTAGGGTCTATGCCAGGGGTGGCAGCTTTCTTCCACATAGGGAAAAGAGGCCATGTCTGTGAGTGGATGGTGGGCCACTCTTTCCCTCTCTCGTGGGTGAATACACTGGGAGGACTCTTGGGGCAAATCATCGAGATGTCTTTCTTTTGTATGGAAAGATGTCCTCTGCAGTCTCAGGACGCAGACTTATGGGCCAGGTAGATCTTTCTTTTTGGGACTATGGGCTGGATGATTTAGATGGTGGGCCAGTTCCAGCCCATGGGCCCTAGATTGCTGACCCAGCTCTGTGTCACATAGGGCTTTATGAATGATAATATCATATCCAACTGGCTTGCAAGTCTGTGCCCCAAGACTGCAGAGCACGTCTTAGTTTTCCCCTTTGGCCGTGCCTCCCTTTCTCTGGCTGTCTCCCACTGAAGTAGTAGCCAGATCTAATCCTGCTTTTTTTTTTTTTTTTTAGATCAGTCAAGGTCAGCTAGGTGCTGTCTCAGGGAACTTTTAAATGTGTACTGGTAAGACTTGGAATTTAAAATGATGTCATACTTCACTTCTTGTCATTTCCATTAACTCAGCTCTGGCAGAGTTTGATGAACCCAAACGATCAACTTTTGTGATGTTTGGAGTGCTTACCATAGCTGTCAGGATCTACCATGACCGATGGGGATATGGTGTCTACTCTGGACCAATTGGGACAGCAGTTCTCATGATAACTGTCAAATGGGTAAGGCCACATTTTTGTCACATAAAAAGTACTGCCACATAAGGGTCACCTCAAATGAAATCCAAGAAGAACTGTAAGAATGAAATTATCCCCAGTTTCAGGGAGGGATTGTTTTCCTGATGGCAGTGGTCAGAATACTCCCAATCGCTGCCAGCTGCCATTTTCTTCCAACGGTGTCCTACTGTAGTTCCGTGTCATGGCTTGGCACCCCTTGCAGGCACCAGAGACTTCCTCAGTGGCATTCCATCGTGGTCAGACTAGTAGAAGCAAAAATGATAGAAAGAAAAGGCCTTTTAGCTGAATATGAATCAGCATCGATCCCATTGCTAGTGGCAAAAAGGCAAAGACTCCAGAAGACTGGAATAAAATTCAAAATGATCTTGGTAGGACTGAGAAATGGGTGATAATTAGAGGACTAGGAATTATGAAGAGAAATGGAAGGTCTAGAAATGTTTTACCTCAAGAAAAGAGACTGGGGGGTGGGGGGGAAATGATGGTACTCTCCAACTATCTGAAAGAATGCCACAGGAGGAAGTCAGCATCAACATCTTTTCCAGAATGCAGGGCAGGGATAATGGACAGATTCTGCTGGGAGAGACAGAAGGGCAATTTGACACTGGAACTACAGTTCCTTCACCGGATGGGTTCAAGCAGGGACCAGGGAGCCATTTGTCCAGGATGTTTCAACTGGGATGCCTGCAAGAAGCGTGCAGTCCATGGCCTCAGTGGGCCCCTCCAACTTGAGGGCTCTAGGAATTAAGAGATGAATTAAGCCCCCTCCCCCACACACACACCTTGGCAAAATATAATGGAACTGAAATTTCTTAGCCGGTAACGAAAGGTCCTGACCTTGTAATCTGAAAATAAGTCCTGCTGAACTCATGTCAGCTAGAAAAACGTAATACTGTAGTATATTCTAGCAGGATTTTGAGGGGTATGAAATGTGTCAATACAAGCAAAACTGTGTGATGGAATTATTCACACATCACCGTGGTTTTAGTTTAAAAATGACAGTTCTGATTGGAGAAAGTTAGATCTCTCTAATCTCTCTTCTCTTTCCAGCTGCAAAAGATGAAAGAGAAAAAAGGTCTGTATCCAGATAAAAACGTCTACACACAGCAGATTGGGCCTGGGTTCTGCTTTGGGGCTCTGGCTTTGATGCTGAGATTTTTTTTCGAGGTAAGGCTGCAAAACTGGAGAGTTTGGGGTGTATATTTCACCAGTGCTGCAGGTTTTCCCCTCCCTCCCCTTCTCTTACGGCAGAACTTGATGCTGACACAATATAGCATGTGGTTGCTTACATGTTACCATCCTCTCATGCACTACTGCTTTTGTTAAGGATAAAGTTTAAATAAGGCTATTACATAATGCTAAGGCTGCTGGACGGTGTGGAAGTGAAAGAAACACCAAGCAAAACCTTTGAGAGGACTCCATGTCTCTCTCTGTAGAAAGTTCACCCATGTTTCTACAAGGAAGAGAAGGGCATAACTCCATGCAGAATGTTGCAGAATCAAGTCTAGCCATACAGGGAGGGCTGGGAAAGAGGCTAGATGGAAACTCTGGAGGGGCAGTGCCAGTCAGCAAAGGCAGTACTGAGTCAGACAGGCAAAACACCTTTCCATGTTCCTGTCCTAGAATAAGAGACACTTTTTTTCTGGGAAAAAAAGAAGTTGCCAAATGTTGTCTTCAGAAGTATGGAGATCTTTGGCAGTGGAAGCTGGAGGCATGCCAGCTTTGAGGGACCCAAACAGCAAAAGCAAAGTCAGGCTGGCTGGCAAGCAAAATACTGGCTGGAGTCCTGCAGCTGTCCTGACAGTTGTGTGTCAACTGACACAGTTGCATGTTGCCTCCTCTGTAGTCAATATTTGGAATGTTGGCCAGACCATCTACAGACTTATAAATCATTATGCTGGATAAGCTCTGACCGTAAGACTGTGATGTGGAGGTTTTATGGCTGTAGATGGACTTGGACTACAGTACAGGGAGGGGGGAGGAAGAGCAGCTGGTGTTACAGGCAGCAGGCAGGAAGTAATTAAGGACACACACAAATCACTTCCAGCCAAACACTGAGGCACAACAGGTTCTTTGGAATACACGGAGACCCAGTGAATTTAAAGTAACAGCAAAACTTTACTGGTTACAATGTGCATTTGCTCTTTCTCTCTCTCTCACACACACACACACACTCAAACACACTTACCAACGTCCTTCTCAACTAGGCTGCCAGGCACTAAGCTAGAGGGATGGAAGCTGCCAAGTCTGGATCCAAAGACGACTCAAAGACAACTCAAAGGCAACTCAAGGAGTGGGTGGGCTTCAGGACCGCTCTTATCCCCCAAAGTCCTTGCATTGTTGATTCACAAGACTGGCAGCTACTCTTGCCTGGCTAATTTACAAGCCTGGTAGCTGTTGATGGGTTTCCATGTGCTCAGCCCCAACTTCCTTTGTCTGGTTCAGGTGGCATTTTTCATTTGTTTCCTTAATGACTTGTTTCCTCCTCATGTACCTCCTTGAAAGGAACTTTTAGACAAGATTCTTGGCTTTTTGTCCTCTCTGCTTACATGCCTGCTTCATCTGTTAGTTATGGCAGCTTTAGCCTAGTCTCACATTGGTTCTGCCCTGGGAAGAGTGAGTTACTGCCCCCGGCAGCCATTGGGAGCTCAGTGAAAGCAGGATCTGACAGGTGGCTGGAGGAGGGGGGTTGGATATTTTGCTGTGGGGCAGGTGGTACTTGGGAAGTACTGAGTGCCAATCAGATGCAGCTGACTGGGGCACCAACAGCTCAGAAGGTGGGACAGTTGGTATTGGAGAGTATGGCTAGCTGGGCATCGTGGCCTGGGGGTGGATCAGCATGGATCCAGGGAAATATTCAGATGGGGGAGAGAGGGAGGAAAGAAAATCTTGGTGGTGATATGTAGACAGAGATGGGGGGAGGGGTCAGGAGACAAGCCATTGTTTGAGAAGGCAGATCTGGCATCTTATACCTATATCACCTTCCAGTTCCCAGGTTCCCAACAACTCCTCAGTAGACTTGATCTCTGGCAGCTCCTCCTGCCGAATGCCAGACCTGCCTATGACAAAGCCTCTCCCATCCACGATCTTATCATGGAGGGGAGGGCAGACCTGTTATGTGTTATCACAACCCAGACGGGTGTGCAATGGGGATTTCCCCTCTCAAGAGATATACCCATCTGGGGTTGGGATCTGGCATCAGCTCTGGTCCCACGATGGTGGGGGAGGAGTGGTATTGTCATTGGAAAACGCTGGGGGCTTTCAGGGGCACGACTCAGCGGGTAACCAGGTGCTGGGCTCTAGAGGTCTCCCTGATGTACATACAGAGACTTCCTTGGCCAAGCTGCTCAAGCTGCTGCAGGACAACTGGTAAAGTTTCCTGGGCGGATGATTCTGGGAGACTTCAACCTGCCTCCTCTCACCCCAAAATCTGAAGCAGCTCAGGACAACTATGGACATGAGGCCCCAGAGCACATAGGTGGTCGCACACACTGGATCTGGCTTTTGTGTTGAGGCACTTGCTACATGATCTGAGTGGGGGACATTAACATGAGTCCCACTCTCCGTGGCCGTGGAGCGTTCTGGTGCTGTTCTTTCCTGCAGGGAAGATGGGTCTCCTCTTTTCGCCTGATGACGGGAGGAAATTCCTCCAATGGGCCTGTTGCCCAAGGCCTCAACTTCCTCTAAGAATAAGAGGGCGATGATGGCTTCCTGAGCTTCCTGTTCGGGAGATGAAGTGTCAAAAGAGACGCCCGGAGTGCCAAAAACTCTTAACAGTCCAAAATAAGGGTATTTGCTTGGAAGCCAAAACAGTAAAAACGGATTGTGGGTGAAAATCCTTAATGGCTATCAGGTTTAGGGTTTAAAAAAAAAAAAAAAAAACTATGGAGGGGAATCCTTAAATTTTTCAAGACCAAAATCTAGGCCCAGATTTTATATGCAACATAGGCAGGGCTGTTTTTCAAGAAAACTCCCCCAAGAAAACTCCTATAAACTAAATTTCTCAGACATGTCCTCTTTGCTCCTAAAGCATCTCCAGGGTAGAAGCAGGCACGCCTACGATGGCATATAAGGCTTGGAGGTTGGTAATGTTGTACTGGCTAAACTTGAATGCTTTTCCCACTGGGCCCAGCACTGGGCCCTAGCAGAGGACCATATTCCATTATGGGCCTTCTGTGGAAAATAAACTAGGTCCCACTGGTTTAGTCAAAGATCACCTGCTTTCTACTAGCTCTGATTAGGCCAAAAGGCTAATTCTTCAAATGTTGGAGGACACAGAATTTCAATCTGAAATTGGCTCCTTACCACGGAGCTTCAGAATATTTAGCACTAGAAATACTTGGGAAGAGGCAAATTATTTTAGCATTTTAACCTCCCCTAATTTAAGGACAGAATTTTTCCATGCCAGGCATAACATCTTATCCCCAATCCTTTTATGTGGCAGATATAACAAAACCCCTGTATTTGAATGGATATGCCTAAGTGATTCTGGAGAGATTGAAACTGTGCACTAGGTACTTCTCTATTGCAATTTTTATATACTTGTGAATTTTATTTAGCATCTATTCTTCAACAGTTTCCAGGAACAAAAGATGAGTTTTGCACAAAACTTTTTAAAACTCAGATAGCAATCAAGATACAACAAGAAGTACAGCTAAATAATGTCTGGATGCAGTGAAAATGCACCAACAGTTGATTTCATTGGATTAATATTATCCTTATTTATCATCTATATTTTCTCATTATACATTTTACTAAATGGGTTTGGATATAGCTACATTGTTTCCTTGTTTATTGGCATTTAGGAGAAGACACTGTCTTCTTGATAAGGGTTCTCACCCTGTGGAACTCTCTCCCAAGGAATATGCAGCTCCTTTGTTTCAAATTTATTTATATTTATATTTATATTTATATAAATCAATCAATCAATCAATCTTCTGAATTAAAAAGCTCTCCACTATTTGGATTCCTGCACCAGAAATGCCATTTCACTAAGTGGCAGGTTGCTTCTCTTAAGAGTGACTGAATGAGGCTCA